GCAAACGAGTCAGGGTTTCCTAAATTTCTCCAAAATAAAATATTTAGGTGGCGACTCTGTTTCTCGCAAAGCAGTCCATGTTTAGCACTTCTTTCAAAATCTGTTTTCTCAAAACGATTTGCCGGATTTGGACTCTTTGGTTCAGATTTAGAACCATGATAAATTGAGAGTCCGAACTGTAGTGAGCCCAATATCGAACGGAACGGGGGAGCTCGTTCCTCCCGGGGCGTTCGGGGACGTCTACAGTATTCCTTTGTCTGTTTGGCTTTTTGATTCTAGTGCCTCTCATCATATGACTCCTTACCTTTCCTTACTCCAAAATTGTATCCCCCCTCATTTTCCTATTACTATTAATACTACTAATGGGTCTAATATGTTTCTTTCTTATCTATTGGGTCTGTTTTACCCTTTGTCATGTCTACTGTTACTATTCCTTCTGTTCTTTACGTTCCTCAACTATTTGACAACTTACTTTCTATCAGTCAGCTTGATACTTCTGGTTTTGATGTTATCTTTTTGTCTTGTATTTGTTGTGTGTAGGATCGGGTGTTCAAGAAGTAGATTGGCACTAGCTGTAAAGTTGGAGATCTCTATGTGGTGAAAAGCCTGCATTTTTCTCTATTTACTTCTCCCGTTGCACTTTCATTTTTTCAGTTAGATTCTCAGTCGAGTCAGTTTTATTTATGGCATTCTCGCCTAGGTCATTTGTTTGTTGACCGTTTACGGTCTTTAGCTTAGTCAGGATTATTGGATAAAGTTTCTCCTAGTCAAATTAATAAATGTCAAGGATGTAAACTTGCAAAAATGACAGCTTTACTTTTTACTAAAAGTTCCTCTATTTCTGTTTCTTTTTTTTCTCTTGTCCATACTGATGTCTGGGGGCCCTCTACTATTCTCACTACAGGGGGTTTTACATACTATGTATCCTTTGTTGATGATTGTACCTGATATATCTGGGTTTATCTTATGGATCATAAATTTGACTTTTACTCGATCTATCATACCTTTCAGTCTATGATCACTACACAGTTTGGGACTATAATTAAAATGCTAAGGTCTGACTTGGGTGGGGAATACTTTAAAACTGAATTTTGTGAGTATTTGACCAATTTAGGTACCGCCGTTCATCAAACTTCTTGTACTGATACACCTACCCAAAATGGTCGTGTTGAGCATAAACAACGGCATCTCCTTGAGACAACTTGATCTCTCCTTCTCTCTGCCTCTGTCCCGGCCCCATCCTGGGGTGAGGCCGTTCTTACTACTACTTTTCTACTCAACCACATGCCAACACCTCTCATTTCTAGACGATCTCCTTATGAGACTCTGTATTCCCAACCTCCTAATTATTCCCTCCTACGTGTTTTTGGGTCTGCTTGTTTTGTCCTTCTTCCCCGTAAAGATAGGACCAAACTTAGTGACCGGTCTGTTCTGTGTGTCTTTTTGGGTTACAATTTTACTCAGAAAGGCTACCACTGTTACGACCCTGTCTCTCGTCGCTTTTATGTCTCTCACCATGTTACCTTTCTCAAACGTCTGTCTTACTTTAAGCTTCCCCCTCTCACTGCTCTAGTCTCAAAAGCAAATTTGGTTGCTTCACGTTAACCCATTTCCTTTTGAGGTCCCGTCTGATGTGTACATCTCCACTGTTCCTCCTGAACTTCTCCTCCTACTTCTCCTCCTACTTCCCCTTTAGCTACTACCCCTCCTTCGGCTTTTTCTCCTCCTTCATTGTCAGTCTATTCTCGTCATCAGGCTCCCCCTCCACCAGTTGTCTTGGGCCCGGTTGCTGCCCCTTCTGCTTCTTAAGACTTTGATTCTGCTCCACATCGATATCCTACTCAAGCGCGTCATTCTCCAAACAGGTTGGGCTAGTCTAATACATGTTTTTCTACTTCCTATGGTACTTTTTTGTCTGCTATTCATTCTTTTTCAGAACCTCAGTCTTACAAGGAGGCCTGTTAGGATCCCAATTAGGTTCGAGCTATTGATGATGAGTTGTCTACTTTGCATAAAACTCATACTTGGGAGTTGGTTCCTTTGCCTATTGGTAAGAATCTGGTTGGTTGCAAATGGGTCTACAAAGTTCAAACTCATTCTGATGGTTCTCTTGAGCTTTACAAGGCCCGCCTGGTTGCCAAGGGTTTTTTCCAAGAGTATGGTATTGATTATAAGACCTTTGCCCCTATCGCCAAGATGAATACTCTCTGTACTTTGATATCTGTCGCTACTGTTTGCCATTGGCCTCTTTTTCAAATGGATGTCAAGAATGCTTTTCTTAATGGTCATCTCACTGAGGAGGTTTACATGCGTACTCCCCCTGGCCTTCACTATTTCACTGGACAGGTTTGTCGTCTTCGGCGTGCTCTGTATGATCTAAAGCAATTTCTTCATGCTTGGTATGATCGCTTTTAGACTATTATTACTGCACTTGGGTTTCATTCTTCTGCTTCCGACTCTGCTTTGTTTCTATGCCATACCTCGGCTGGTTTTGTTGCTCTCTTACTATATGTGGATGATATGATCATCAGTAGCTCTGACTCTTCTGCTATCTCTGATGTCAAGCAGCATCTTTTCTGCACCTTCGGCGGATATACCGATCCACCAAAACCGACCGAACCAAACCAAACCGATCCGCCGCATTTTGGACAGATGCGTGATGACGAGCGGACAGTTATGGATTGATTTTCTCCAATTCGCCAATCTGGCAGACGGATGACGGATTTGAGATTCCTTTAGCCGCAACCGAACCACCAAACCTCGAGCACCCCTAGTAATTTATAAGACTTTGTGTTTTCAGTTTGTTTAAATATTTTGTTTGTGTTTTCAATTAAAAAAGAGTTTAAATATTCCGTTGAAAAAAGTTTTCAACTTGAATATCTTTTTTGAATTGAAAAAAATAAACGTATTATTTATCTATATTTTTTTATTTTTAAATCTATCACTAAAAACAATAAATAGAAATATGATATCTGCTGATTGGTTTTTGATTTCAAAAACAGATATAGATTGTTTTGTTCATGGTTTTGGTGGTTTGAATTGTTTTTATATTTTAAGAACCACAGATTGTAATACTTTATGTGGATGAGGCATGCTGTGATTGTAGTATGTGGATGAGGCATGCAGTGATTGTGATATTCTAAAGTTTCAAACTTTATTGCTTTGGATGAGACATGCAGTGATTGTAATATTTTTTTAAGTCATTGACTGTAATACTTTCTTCTTCTTTTTTTTGAGGAAGTGCACAAGTTGAATTATGTTGAAAATTTATAAAATTTTAAACCTCCAAACCGATTCGCATCTATCCGCCAAACCGCCAATCCGCTCAATCCACATCCGCCGGATTAGCGGACGGATGCGGATTGATTTTCTTCAATCCGCCAATCTGGCGAACAGATGGCGGATTGGAGGTTCCGTGGCCACAACCGACCCGCGCCCACGCTTAGATCTGGGTCCCTTGCGGTATTTTCTTGGTATTGAGGTTGTTTCTTCTCCAAAGGACTATTTTCTGTCTCAGGCTAAGTATGCTAATGAGGACATTCACCATGCTGGTCTTACTGATCCTAAGGTTGCTGAGACACCTATTGAGCTTAATGTGAAGCTCAACTCTACTGATGGTGTCCCTCTGAATGATCTCACTTTATATCGTGAGCTTATGGGTTGTTTAGTTTATTTGACTGTCACTCGCCCTGATCTTACTTATGTTGTTCATGTGGTTAGTCAGTTCGTTTCTTCTCCTCACTCTACCCATTGAGCTGATTTGGTTCACATTCTTCGCTATCTCAGGGGTACCATCTTTCAGGGCTTACTATTGTCCTCTACGTTCTCTTTGGACTTGGTAGCCTATGCCGATTTTGATTGAATTGGTAATGTTACTGATCGCAAGTCTACATCCGGTTTCAGTATGTTTCTTAGTGATTCCTTGATCTCTTGGAAAAGTAAGAAACAACTCGTTGTTGCTCGCTCTACTGCCAAAGCTGAGTATCGTGCTATAACTCATGCCACTGCTGAGATTGTTTGGCTTCACTGTCTCCTATTTGATTTGGGTGTCCCTCAATCTTCTCCGACCTCTCTCTATTATGACAACTGCAGTGCTATTCAGATTGTCCAAAATATTGTCTTTCATGAACGGATAAAACACATTGAGATTGATTGTCACTTTGTCCGCCAACATCTGTAGTCTAACTCTATCTCGCTTCATTTTGTCTCTTCGGCTTAGCAACTGGTAGACTTGTTCACCAAGACTCACACTACCACTTAGTTTCAGTTTCTTCTTAGCAAACTCTTAGTGTTTTCTGCTAAAACACCTTGAGTTTGAGCGGAGATGTGAGAATGTGTATATTCTATATTTGGCATGATTGTGATTAGCGTTAGGGCTATATAATCTAGGGTCTTCTTGTAATCAACTACACAATTGGAATATACAAAAATACAGAAAGCTTACAAGTATTACTGTCATAAACTTCAAAACAGGAATAACAATTTTTTAGTTATCAATAATCCAAACTTGGCAATCTGATAGACCCAAAACAATCAGAACAGTAGAATCAGAACTTAACTTATGTTATGATTAGATATTTAAACATATAATCAAAACAGTCAGAAATTAGAATGAGCAATGACAGAAAAATATATCAAAACTGGACAAGATTGTTTGAGTACAGCATACTGGAGGATTGAGGAGTATAAGATTGTTGAGCTTGTCCTGATGACTGCTAGCATATTTTACGACAACTGGAGAAAAATATCCCTGAAAAGCTTATCATCAATGGAGATTTTCTTCACCAAAATGTCCCATAGGGGGCTAACTTGACTGCTATATCTGTGTTTTCAGATTCAGAAAAGACAAATATACCTGTGCAACGAGAGAGACCTTGTTGGTACCAAGTTCATTAAGAAAAGATTCCAAGGATGAGACATATTCTGCAAGCCACAACAAATATTATAGCATGGAAGATTCTCTGTTAACTCTCAAAATCAAGTTTTGGCATAGCTGCACTAATCTAGAACTCTTATCCTGCAATATTTTTAGTTGAACTGGAAAAGAAATTACCAGCCAAAGTGTAGTCAAATCCATATCCAGGTTGGGGCTTATCTGAAAATCCAAAGCCTGTAGGAAGGGGAAAAAGGAGGAGAGATTTTCCTTTATTAAATAATAATCAGCATAAGATGCATTGTCATGGTGAGAGGTGAATCACTAAGCATGACAAACCATCATATTTAAAGATTAATAGGATCCTTTGTTACATAATAATTAGAACAAGGATTATTGCTACAAAAAGTGATAAATCATTAAACATGACAAACCATCAGATTGAAAAATCATCAAATTTTGGAAATAAGATGGTTTAAAATACAGTAAATCTCACACAATACAAAACCACATGTTAGAGAAAGAGAGAGAGAGAGAGAGAGAGAGAGAGAGAGAGACCCAGCAGAAAATGTAATCCGGTTAAACACAGTCAGAAATGATTGCTAAGTCAAATGATATCATAAAACTAAAGGTTTGAGTGAAGAAATCTGACTCCTGTGAATGCTGGCTAGATCATCAAGAGGACAAACTGTTCATCGATTCAGTCATTTAAGAAATAAAGAGCCACATAGATGAGAAAGAGAAAAGACTGATTATCCAGTTGTTGAAGTACATTCAATCAACATTTCGACATACAATTGCAATGCTCCATTAATCAAAAAATTTCATAGTTATTGTTTTACTGTCTTTAAAAATCACAAAACAAATGAAAATTCATAGAAAAAACTTGCAAGGAACATAGCATTAATCATTTAAAATTATTTTTTCTTTAAAAGTAAGTCTAGGATCTTACCTAGCCAATCAAAACCAATGGCATGATAGTCCTTGGAGAGTACAGGAAGAACTTTGCGATAAGAATATGCCTGCAACATAAGGAATGGAATATATTAGTGAATTGAGAATTTAATCTACATACACTGTTAAAGCAACAATAACTTCCAATCCGTCATAATTTTTTATAGGTTAACATTGCAATGGACAGCAACAAGTTGTTACTAATAACTCTCTGGAATTACCTGTATGATAAGGGAAGTTACCCATCAAGAATCAAGAAATTAGTCTAGAGAAATTAATAGGTTTGTCTGAATGGAAAAGCACAATAAGCAATTGTAAACAACAAAAGTAATCATGATACTTGCTCACATTATGATGATAAATTTGAAATTCAAGTATAATGAAATTCGGAAGTAATTCAGAGTTCATTGATCTAACTGGAAAAACAACATGACCAAAACAAGGTTAAGATTGAAGCCAGTAAAATTTGAGGGAAAATAAAGGAAGCTGTTGCAATTTGAGAAAGTAAGGCATATTTTTTTTGAAATTTTTGTTTCTTATTTTTTCGTAGTTTTCTTTCCTAATTGGTGAAATGAGTTGCTGAGGCAGTGGGTAAAATAACAATGGTTACAATAACAATAATCTATAAGTTTTTGCATTAGAATCTTCTACCAATAGAATGAGGGTCATAAGTATTAAAAAGGCAAATGCACACAAGCATGCACACAGAAACACACTCACATGTCAATTGGATAATTGAAACCATCCCTAGCTTGGCATTGAGATGATGGGTGGTCACTGGTCATGAGAGGAGTTCCAAATTCTAATGGTTCAAGGAGGCCCCGTGTTTGACTCCAATAAATTATTTGATGTTCAAAGCTTGTCATTCTTCTAATATACAAAATCAAATGGTTATATGGCATATATGCCTAGAAAAGTAGATGTGTTTGATTTCATAATCTCTCCCATCTTATTGGACAAAGTGCCATTATAATTCGAGCCAGGGTCTGTAAGGACCTTCAAACCTGAGTTCCATTCAATGAAAAGGCATAGTAGTTTGACATAGTTATGGTATAACATAGATATTGTCACCCAAAACCAGCAATACAATATGCATTGCAACATAGATAACTGCATTATTAGCAAGAATGAGATAATCTATGAAGACAATAATAGCATTGGACAATGCAATGCTATATGGTAGAAGCAACCAACTGGAGAATGGGGCATATTCAGATAAGACAGATCTTCACTTTGTCATTAGGTTTGATCAAGATATACGAAAGGTTCATTCTACTAGCCACTATCTTAATCTGTAAGAAATAGATGTATTATTGATTGATATATATTCATATCTATTACAATGATTCATGATTCCTATATATAGAAGAGGGTGAGTGTGTAGTAGGTAAGGAGTAGGTGAAGTGGAGGTGGTAGTGGTGTAGTGGGTTAGGTTTAGTGGAAATAGATGTATTATTGATTGATATATATTCATATCTATTACAATGATTCATGATTCCTATATATAGAAGAGGGTGAGTGTGTAGTAGGTAAGGAGTAGGTGAAGTGGAGGTGGTAGTAGTGTAGTGGGTTAGGTTTAGTGGAGTAGGTGAGGTGGTAGTGGTGTAGTGAGTTAGGTTTAGTGGAGTAGGTGAGATGGTAGTGGTGTAGTGGGTTAGGTTTAGTGGAGTAGGTGAGATGGTAGTGGTGTAGTGGGTTAGGTTTAGTGGAGTAGGTGAGATGGTAGTGGTGTAGTGGGTTAGGTTTAGTGGAGTAGGTGAGATGGTAGTGGTGTAGTGGGTTAGGTTTAGTGGAGTAGGTGAGATGGTAGTGGTGTAGTGGGTTAGGTTTAGTGGAGTAGGTGAGATGGTAGTGGTGTAGTGGGTTAGGTTTAGTGGAGTAGGTGAGATGGTAGTGGTGTAGTGGGTTAGGTTTAGTGGAGTAGGTGAGATGGTAGTGGTGTAGTGGGTTAGGTTTAGTGGAGTAGGTGAGATGGTAGTGGTGTAGTGGGTTAGGTTTAGTGGAGTAGGTGAGATGGTAGTGGTGTAGTGGGTTAGGTTTAGTGGAGTAGGTGAGATGGTAGTGGTGTAGTGGGTTAGGTTTAGTGGAGTAGGTGAGATGGTAGTGGTGTAGTGGGTTAGGTTTAGTGGAGTAGGTGAGATGGTAGTGGTGTAGTGGGTTAGGTTTAGTGGAGTAGGTGAGATGGTAGTGGTGTAGTGGGTTAGGTTTAGTGGAGTAGGTGAGATGGTAGTGGTGTAGTGGGTTAGGTTTAGTGGAGTAGGTGAGATGGTAGTGGTGTAGTGGGTTAGGTTTAGTGGAGTAGGTGAGATGGTAGTGGTGTAGTGGGTTAGGTTTAGTGGAGTAGGTGAGATGGTAGTGGTGTAGTGGGTTAGGTTTAGTGGAGTAGGTGAGATGGTAGTGGTGTAGTGGGTTAGGTTTAGTGGAGTAGGTGAGATGGTAGTGGTGTAGTGGGTTAGGTTTAGTGGAGTAGGTGAGATGGTAGTGGTGTAGTGGGTTAGGTTTAGTGGAGTAGGTGAGATGGTAGTGGTGTAGTGGGTTAGGTTTAGTGGAGTAGGTGAGATGGTAGTGGTGTAGTGGGTTAGGTTTAGTGGAGTAGGTGAGATGGTAGTGGTGTAGTGGGTTAGGTTTAGTGGAGTAGGTGAGATGGTAGTGGTGTAGTGGGTTAGGTTTAGTGGAGTAGGTGAGATGGTAGTGGTGTAGTGGGTTAGGTTTAGTGGAGTAGGTGAGATGGTAGTGGTGTAGTGGGTTAGGTTTAGTGGAGTAGGTGAGATGGTAGTGGTGTAGTGGGTTAGGTTTAGTGGAGTAGGTGAGATGGTAGTGGTGTAGTGGGTTAGGTTTAGTGGAGTAGGTGAGATGGTAGTGGTGTAGTGGGTTAGGTTTAGTGGAGTAGGTGAGATGGTAGTGGTGTAGTGGGTTAGGTTTAGTGGAGTAGGTGAGATGGTAGTGGTGTAGTGGGTTAGGTTTAGTGGAGTAGGTGAGATGGTAGTGGTGTAGTGGGTTAGGTTTAGTGGAGTAGGTGAGATGGTAGTGGTGTAGTGGGTTAGGTTTAGTGGAGTAGGTGAGATGGTAGTGGTGTAGTGGGTTAGGTTTAGTGGAGTAGGTGAGATGGTAGTGGTGTAGTGGGTTAGGTTTAGTGGAGTAGGTGAGATGGTAGTGGTGTAGTGGGTTAGGTTTAGTGGAGTAGGTGAGATGGTAGTGGTGTAGTGGGTTAGGTTTAGTGGAGTAGGTGAGATGGTAGTGGTGTAGTGGGTTAGGTTTAGTGGAGTAGGTGAGATGGTAGTGGTGTAGTGGGTTAGGTTTAGTGGAGTAGGTGAGATGGTAGTGGTGTAGTGGGTTAGGTTTAGTGGAGTAGGTGAGATGGTAGTGGTGTAGTGGGTTAGGTTTAGTGGAGTAGGTGAGATGGTAGTGGTGTAGTGGGTTAGGTTTAGTGGAGTAGGTGAGATGGTAGTGGTGTAGTGGGTTAGGTTTAGTGGAGTAGGTGAGATGGTAGTGGTGTAGTGGGTTAGGTTTAGTGGAGTAGGTGAGATGGTAGTGGTGTAGTGGGTTAGGTTTAGTGGAGTAGGTGAGATGGTAGTGGTGTAGTGGGTTAGGTTTAGTGGAGTAGGTGAGATGGTAGTGGTGTAGTGGGTTAGGTTTAGTGGAGTAGGTGAGATGGTAGTGGTGTAGTGGGTTAGGTTTAGTGGAGTAGGTATATTATATGAAAAGAAAAATGTAATGTCATCAAGTTTTGAAATTAGCCCTCTTTTTCTTTTTTGTTCACACAACAATGACCTACATATAAACAATTTAAAGATGATTTTTTTAAAGAGGAAATCCAAGCTAGTTAAGAGCAAAAGTTTTGTCCTAAAAATTCAAAGTGGGAGTAGAAAGAGGCAACCAAGACTTACAATCTTTCCTCTGCTGACCCATTCATCTGCTGGATTCGGCCCGTCTGAGTACTTCCCTGTCCAAAACCAAATATAACTTCAATCATACTGAAATCACAACTAAATATCATTTCCCCTTGGCTTTCTTTAGAAATGGACAATTCACAAGTCTGTCTAACCTCCACTGAAAGAAAATCCATCCCCAATTGAAACAGGAGCATCCAGCAAATAATCCTAATATTGATCATACCAATAATAACACTAAAAAATTCACACCACAAAAAGGGCACGCATTGAAAATAACACAACATGAGAGAGCTTCAATCACGTTTAAAAGCAAACCTCGTCGTCATTGATGCTGGATCGACAGGTGAGACCGAAAGATTTCCTCTTTGGGGAAGTCCAAGCTGCTGATTTCAGTGACCCATTAAGAAATGACAATGGGGATGCAATAGAGGGGTGAAGAAGGAAAAGAAAATTGTGGGATTGAAGCGAAGAAGGAGAAGAAGAAGAGAAATGAAAGGCCATGGTGAAGAGCTAAGAATGGCGCGAGAGGGAAGAGAGGAAGGGGGTTCCAAATGGAGTGACAGTTAAAACGGTTATTGTCATGCATTGTATAGAAATTGGGGGAATTGGATTGGATATATGGGGTTTCAAATAGGGATAGGGTTTCTCTGGTTCTCATACCTCCCAATTTACTACATATTTTATTCCTCTGAGTCGGCTCTTCCTAGTATTTTAATTTTTAATTTAGGCATGGTTTGGCAAGAGTTTTATTTATTTATTTATTTATAATTTTTTTTTTAAGTGAAGCAGACAAATAAAAAGTTTTTATTAAAAAAATAAAATTCAACAAATTTCACCATATTAGCAAAATGTCACATAATACACATTAATTAATTATTTTTCTCTTATAACTATCTATTCAATTAAAAACATTATTTCAAACGCACTTTTTTCACCTCATATTACAGTCAAAAAAATTTAAAAATTACTAAAAAAAAGTCAAGTTTTGAAAAAAGCACTTAGAGTATCCACATCAGTCTCAACAAATTTTGAATCAAATTATAACCCAAAATCCACTTTTGTTATTTTAGCTTGTCACTTTTTTAGTACTCACTGCATCAAACTCTCTATTCTAACTCAATCTTATTAAAATATTAATTTCTTAGTGCATTTGTTATTCTTTATTTCTTTTTATTAAATTGATAAGATGCCACCCAAACAATTCTTAAAAAAAAAAAAAAAATCGTCAAAAAAAAAAAAAAAATCGTCGTTCGGTCGACCGATTAGGCTAATTTTAGGCATTTTTCTTCTTCTGCTACAGGCACTCACGAGACATCCAGTAGTATATCCGAGAGGGCATCCGGGTGGACGATCGGTTTAAAGATTTTGGCCCAATTTTGCTCCAAAAAATATAATAAAAAATCATGTAGCTAATGAACAGTGGCTCAACAAAGTTGTTGAGATACTGTAGCAAATTTAATAAAAAGTTAATTTTAAAAAAAATTATTGAGACTGATGAAGGAAGAATTTTATGATTTGTTAGCTATATTTTAACTTTTTGTTATTTTGCATCAACAGATGTAGATGCTCTTATTAGAGCTCATTTGAAAATTGACTATTTTAACTTCTTTTTTTTCTTTTTCATTTTTTCCTTACAAAAACATGTAGAGAAAGTCAAAAAAATAATTTAATTACTTGTAATGATTTTTTAACTTTTTAATTAAAAACCTATGTTCCCAATCATCCACAAAACAAAAAATGCATGAATTATTTTAATTGGAAAAAAAAGGAAAATAAAATTGAACCCATTATAAAAAAAGAAAAAAAAAAGGAAGAAAGGAAAAATAAGTACTCGAGTCATAAATTTATTTTTTACACTTTGAAGCCTATCGGTCCAAGTGTTAAACTATTAAGCTCGCAACGACACATCTGGATGGTTTTAATAGCCCATTTTGATTAAGTGGTTTGAAGAAGAAAAGAAAAAAAAAATTTATCTTGATTTATGTCACTCGTTTGAATAAGTGAAGAAAAGAAAAACATAGTGAAATGAGAAGAAATTAAGAGAAACCTATTTCTTTCGTAACCAGTAACAGAACCAAAAAATAACTTTAGAAGGGCACTAATTAACCACAATCTTTGAGAGAGATTATAATAAAAAAAAGTCTTTTAATTGACAACAGAATATAATACTATTTTTTTGAGTAAATATCACGCATGAAACATAAATATTCATTACAAAATAAAAATACTTTTCAAAAATAAGAAATGAAAAATTACAATCTATGTAGTTTGTCTAGTGTCATTTTGGTTACAATAACTCTAATTGGGAAAATTATTCAATGTTCCCGAAATATCACGTGTCTGTACTTCTTAACTAATCATCATTCAATATACTTTTCATATTTCTCAATCACCCAACACAATACCCCACCTACCCATCTTCTCCACCAATCACAATGCTATATAATACCACGTGTCTATATTCTGAGATTACTGAATAATTAACCGTCTAAAAGCATCAATTGAACACTTAACATTTTCACATTTTGTTAATTTAGTAAAATTGACAATGCTACTTTAAAAATTAGATTGAAATCAAAAGTATAATAGTTCATTCCAAAGTATATGTCAACCTCTCAATCACTACGAGGAGAGTACATTTTTATCAAATTTCCACGTTCAAAAAAACAAAAGGAAAAGGAAAGAGCTATTTTTTCCATAATTTTCTTTCAATTTATTAATGAATGTTACTAATTGAATTAAATTGATATAATGTAAAAAACAATAATAATAAAGTCCAAAACTAACATAACAATAACTATACAATAAGTGTAAGGTCCCAGATTAATCCACCCAGAAAATTCTTGGCAGGTGATTATATGGTGGAGATTAATTTGTGTAGTGTAGGTCTATGTTTAGAATAAATCTGAACCACGATTTTGAATAATTTTTGGATTGATAAGGGCAGGTTTGTAATATTACTGATAACTATAAGATCAAATTGATATAACTAACAACATACATGGACCACATGTGTAATTTGCCACAATAAAAAAATTAAGAAAGGGCTTCAAAAAAAATTAAATGAACAATAATATAAGAGAAAAATTAATTTTGCAAGGTGAGGAAAAAAATAAAGAGAAGAGAGAGATGAGAGGAAGAGTTATTTATGTATTCAGAGTTTTTATGCGATTTATATAAATAAATAAATAAGAAGGGTTTTTTTTAAAATTTTTTAACGAATCTTAATGTTGTGTTTGGTTGAGGGATTTGGGAAGGGATTTGAAAAAGGAAAGGGAAAGGGAAAATGTGTGTGAAACTAGGTGAAATGTAGGTATATTTTATTCATATTTCACCAAACTTTTTCCTTTTCCTTTCTAAATTTCTTTTCAAATCCTCCAACTAAACACAGCGTAAATGATTTAGGGTGGACACAATTATAATTTTTGAAGGGTTGAACAAATAATACTCCTCTTTGCAAACATACAGATACTATTGTAAATTATAAGAAATTGAGGAGGGGCACATGTCCCACTTGATTCCTTTTTACATTAGCCCTTGCTCGTAACCCCTATTTTGAATCTTTCCTGGGGAGATTAGGAAAGAAAAAAACCCAACTAAATAATAGTTTGTTATTATACTAAAACTATCATTTTAAATATAGAAGAAATAAAAAGGAAAAAAAAAATTAGGGTAAACTATTGATAAATCTTAATAATTTGATTTAATTCCAATAAAGTCCTATTAAAATAAATCTTAGTAAAATCATTCCTAAAACTAATTTTTTGCATATGTCCATAAAAATTGACAATTAGTGACTTTTTTTATCATGATTTTTATAAATTATCGCTAAAACTTACAATTAGTGACGTTTTTCTGTGACAAATTTTTCAAACTATCGCTGAAAGTTAAAAATTAGTGACATTTTTTTGTGACTATTTTTTAAATTGTCGCTAAAATTTATAATTAGTAACATTTTTTGTGACAAAATTTTTAAATTATTGCTAAAAATTAACAATTAATGACATTTTTTTAATAGTGTTTGATAAAAAAATACCATTAATTCTCACAAGACCTATTGAATAATAAATTTACCTATTATAACCTATATGTAAGTCCCCCAAAAAACTAACACCTATCTATGGTTAATTTGGTAATAAAACACTATCATTTATTTTATTTTTCTTTGATGTTGTTTAACTAAATTAGATAGGAGAGAAATTAATGTATTTTCTTTTCTTTGTATTTTCTTTTCTTTTCTTTTCTTTCTTATTTACCCATTCAAGAGGAAGATAAATTACAATCTTTTTCTTCTTTTTTCTCTCTAAATTTACGTAATTATTTCTTTTATTTTCTCTCTTTAAGTTTCCAAACTAGGTGTAAATGCACCTCAAAATGTTGGTTGGGCACTCTATTTCTTAGGGTACTCCAAGTCTAAATTAAAATTTGTTTTTTGTCTTTGAATGCCCCAAATAATACCATTCATACCCCACTCATCCCAACGGCCCACCCAGAGCCCTAAACCTGGCTCCATTACTCTCCTTCCCAGCTCTGGCATCAGAGGTGACTCAAGCCTGTGTGAGGTCTTAGACAAAAATTTAAATGAGGTATTCACAAATTTTTATATTGTTAGATTTTTGTAATTGATAATCCCGTTTAGGAAAATTCTTTTCAATTGTAATTTTTTTCACTTTTATATTTCAGTGAGGATGTGAGTATTTAAATGCAAATCCAACCCAAATTGTACCTATGCAGAGGAGTTTGTGATATTTAGGCTTTCATGTTTGTCATTTCGCTGATTATGTACGGGGATTGAGCTGCCAGCGAATAAAAGGATCATCTATTATTTTTGCAGAGCATCTGAACTTCTGAGAAACAAGTTTTACCTCTTGAGCGGTGAAAGTTGCACTCGACCGGTCAGCATATATGTTTCACACCGCCTTTAGTCACACCGCTCGATCGGTGAAATGTGCATTCGAGCAGTCTTCGGGATTCAATTTACTATAAAGTGCACATTTTGTTGTTTTTAGGGTTTGAGTCTCCATATTTTCAAAGAGGAAGAAAAAACAAATTCTTTTATATTGGAGGGTATTTTATGAGTGTTTCCTCGATGATTTAAGAGTAATTAATAGATCCATGAACCTTATATCAATATCGTCAAGGGGTTTGTTTGTTTTCTTTTATTCACAAAAGAGAGAGTTGTTCTTCGGTGGACTCTGGAGAATTAGGGTCTGAAGCTTTGGTGGATTCCGAAGTGACTAATTGTCGTAGGTTTGACATCAGCGTAGTGGATTCAACATTGGGCAAGACAATATCGAGGTAAAGATGGTGGTGGAATAAACACATCGGGGTTAGTTCAATTCGGGTTTGGATTCGCTAGGTAATTGAGGGTACACATGTATAATTCCTTTTTGTCTTCTTAGTGAATTGTTTTATGACTTTGGCCCGTGATTTTTTTAATCGCAATTGGAGGCGCTCCAATTGTGATTTTTTCATGTTAAATTGTTGTGTCGATTTATCTTAATTGTTTGATTAGGAGTGTTATTTATTGTTTTAAATTAGAATATAATCACAAATCAAAATCTCAATAATCTTAGATTTTGCAATATTGCAATTTTTTTTTTCAAAAAATAATTTTTTACTCTTTAAGATGTAAAGTTACTAATTAAAA